GGCAGAGGATTGAGTCAGACGGACATGGTTTGTGTCACCCCCACTTACTCCCTGTTTGTTTATGAATCCAGAGGGGTCCCTCCCCAAACCCTCCATCTCCGTCAGCCCCGGTGGGGTGATCCCCGTGGGGGGAAACGTCATCATCCGGTGTCGGCATCAGCGCCTGGGCATGAGGATCCTCCTCTACAAGGCTGGAGATGGGAACTATCTGAATTACACAGACCCTGCTGGCTCTGAGGCTGAATTTCCCATCACCAGCGCCAGACGGGAACAGAGCGGAAACTACACCTGTCGTTATAGCAACAGAACAGGACCAGTTACCTACTCGGAGCCCAGCGACCCCGTGCAGATCATTGTAGCAGGTGAGGGGCCCAGCCCAGCATCTCCTGCCCCACACCCAGCTAGATCCCCAGGGGCTCGCACTGATGGGCCACTCAGAGCCAGGCTCTGCCCTGAGCCCTGGGCCCAGCAGAGGGGACACCCAGCTGGGCAGCGGGGACAGTAACTGGGGGGATCCCAGCCAGTGGGAGCAGCCTTCTACCCTGCACATGGTCTGACGCTGCCCTGGTGACCGCGGTGTCGGGCGCCTGCCAGTCGAGCATTAAGCGACGTGGCCCCGTCTGTCATGGGCAGGTCGTTCTCTCTCGTCCTCTCCCTGGGGAGGTCTGTGCCCATCGCGGAGGGTCTTGGAGCCGGAGGTGGGGAGGTTGGGGGGCCCTTGGCTGCTGGGAGAGCTCGTTCTGCAGCCTGGGCCCAGCCCCGGAGGAAGTTCTGTCCCCTGCCCAGAAGAGCGTGACGCTGATGGTGGCCGGGCCGGAGGCAGGGAACCGTCACCCCGGGGTCCCCCCAGAGCTGTGAGCTGTTGTTGGGTGTCTGCCCTGCAGCTGGGGGCCGGCGTGCGGCACCCGGGCTAGCTCTGATGGAGCTGAAAATAGCAATGGAGCCGTGGCCGAGCAGGACTAGCCTCTCGCGTGTGCACCCAGCACCCTGGGCAGCTTGTCCTCGAGCAACCAGTCTGGGCCCACGCACCCGGCACTCGCAGCACCCTGCAGCCAGAGCCGGGAATACGCTGGGCTCAGCCCTCGGGCACCTCGGAGATCAGAGCAGAGACCTCGGACTTGACTCCGTCTGCGGGCAGCCGATGCAGGGGTCAGCTCCAGCCATGCACTGCGCCAGAGAACAGCCCCATCACTCTGTGTCCAGGACAGGCCAGACGCAGTGAATGAGGCGGGGGCCACACATGGGCATATGAGGACCCAAGAACTAGGGAGCGGCGGCTCAGTGTCTGTGGGGCTGGGAGCCCAGCTTGCAGGGCCGGGATTCTGGGTCAGGGGGACTCTGGGATCTGGGAGAGAATATCTGCCTGCAGTTCCCTGGATCTGCCCATGGCTGGGGCAGGCTGGGGAGGCCGGGGCTGGGTGGGTGCCCGGGTCTGGCTCTCACAGCCTGTCTCCTGTGCGCAGATCCCAACTTACCCAGACCCTCCATCTCGCTGAGCCCCACTGGGGTCACTGCCCCAGGGGCAAATGTCACCATCCGGTGTCAGGGGCAGCGTCAGGACATGAGTCACTGAGGGGTTCCTCAGCCATGGGGGAGCAGCAGCCACTGGAGATTCGGGGCCGAGGGTGTGCAGATCTCTGCCCCTAAGTTCCCTCTAAGCTGCCGCGGTCAGGGAGAGGAACTTCTCCCCTGGCCCTGGGCTGTTGCAGCGAGAGAGGGCTGGGGGAAGTCCTCTCTCCCCGCCACAGCTCTGGGGCAGCCTGCACCCCAAATCCCTCATCCCCAGACCCACCCCAGAGCCCCCACCCCCAGCCGGAGCCCTCACTCCCCCCACACCCCAACCCTCTGCCCCAGCCCTGAGCCCCCTCCCGCACTTCGAACCCCTCGGCCCCACCCCGCCACACATCACCTCTCTGTGCACATAACAAAACTGATTCCACACATGGATGTAAAAAATTAGTGGGAACACGGCCCTGCCCCCAGGGGGAGCTGCAGAGCCGGGGTCTTTCCCAGGAGATGCTCCCCCGGCTGCCCCAGGTCTGGGGGCACACAGAGGAGTCGGGGCCCAGGTGCTGCCCAGCCGGCCCCGCCCCCAGCCTGTGACTGCATTCCAGGGCTGGCTGTGTGAGGCCCACCTAGGGTGACCAGATGTCCCGATTTTATAAGGACAGTCCCGATATTTGGGGCTTTTTCTTATATAGGCTCCTATTACCCCCCACCCCGTCCTGATTTTTCACACTTGTTGTCTGATCACCCTAGGCCCCCACCAGTGCGGTGACTGTGCCAGGGTCTGTCTCACGGCCTGTCCCCTTCTCACTTCAGAGCTCAGCTACCCCAAACCTTCCATCTCCCTGAGCCCCAGCGGGGGGGTCGCCCCAGGGGGAGCCGTGACCATCCGATGTCGGGGTTCATACCAGAACGTGAGGTTCCGTCTGTACAAAGATGGGAACCCGACCACGCTGCAGGACGCGGAGCCGGCTGGGGACCTGGCTGAGTTTCCCATTCGCAGCGTGAGCTGGAGAGACGCCGGGAGCTACAGCTGCTATTATCACCACAAATCGGACCCAGCCACCTGGTCGCATCCCAGTGACCCCGTAGAGCTGGTGGTAGCAGGTGAGTTGCCCGGCTCAGTATCCCCGCTCCCAGCCCCACCCACAGCCAGACCCTCAGGGGCAAGGGCATGTGCAAGGGGCAGGGCCGGCTTTAGCAAGAGCGGGGCCCGATTCTTGCGGCAAGCCCCGCCCCCAGGAATCGGGCCACGTTTCGGCCGGAGCTCCGGCCAGGGTCGCGGGGCTTGGGTCCGGAGCCGAGCCGAGCCGAGCCGTGGGGGCGGGCTGGGCCGGAGCCGAGCTGAGGGGGCGGGCCCGAGCCAAGCTGAGCCGCGGGGGCCGGAGCCGAGCCGGAGCCGAGCTGCAGGGGCCAGGCCAGGCCGGAGCCGAGCTGCGGAGGCCGGGCCGGGCCAGAGCCGCTGAGGCCGGGGGTGCTCGGCCGAGGCCGGGCCGGCGCACTTGGCCAGAACCGGGGCCGGAGTGAGCTGCTCGACCGGGGCTGGACTGGGCCGCGCCTCCCCGGAACCCTTCTCGCACCGCCCGCCACCCCAGCTTACCTGATGCTGCCTGCCCGCCCAGGGCCGGGCTTTAGTCAAGAGCGGGGCCCGGATTCCTGGGGGCGG